GAGTGCTGGGACCTGAACCCAGAGGGGCTTTGGACTTAGAACTTGGTGGAATCATCTATATAGGAACTGAGTTAAATTGTGAACCAAATTCCCCAGTGACTGGGGGGTTGGGTATTGTGGAAGGGGAGATTATGCACCTCAGATGTTAGGGAGAGTGTTTGTATTTTTCTGGATATACCTTTGAAGTAAATATTCCTAATCAGCTAATCTGTTAAATAGTTAAATGGAACTAGAGTGCAGGGGAGCACTGAGAGCTTAAACCACTGGCAGAGACTAGGTCCCCCTCAACCTCTTAATGGTACCAGAGAACCCTGTGGGAGAGACACAACATAACACATCTGGCCTTTAGGCAGCATGGGGTCAAGGTAGTTACTATTATTACACCCAGAAAATGACTAAAATGTCCATTCCCTTTGCCCCAGACTGATGGGCATGTGCTCCAAGGAGATCGAAGATGGAAAGAACAGTCTCAAAATACAGGGTGTCCCAAAGGTCTCAGTGCAGTTTTAAGCTATTAAAACTTAAAATCTGTGATTTTCCATATTCTTGCCCTTAGCTTTTCAGAGGCTCAGTTCTGTCATCTGCAACAGAGAGTGGAGGTGGGAGTGGGGCCTGGGGGTGGGGGTGGGAGAAATATAGACTCTAAGGTTCCTTCCAGCTCTGTGGAATATGATCCTAATATCATATTCAGCATTTCTTCTGGCACGGAAATATTCCGTCACAGTCATGTGCCAGAATTTGTTTAGCCATTCCACAACTGACTGGGCATTCATCTTTAGTAATTTGCTACTACAAAAAGTGCCACTATAAATACAGGGCATCCCAAAATTCTCAGTGCAGTTTAAAATTTAAACTAGAAAATAGTAACAGCCAAAGTCAATGCTTTTGTATTTATACAGTTCCCTCTCATTGGAAATCAATAGATTGTTTGAAAAGGGGTTGGAGTAGGGCAGGGGTCTGTGGCCTCAAGGCCACATGTGGCCTCCTAGGTCTTTGGGTGCCGCCTTTTGACTGAGTCCAAGTTTTATAGAATAAATCCTTTTATTAAGGGGGTTTGTTCTGTGAAGTTCGGATTCAGTGGATGGCCACACTTGAGGCCCTAGAGGCCACAGGTTCCTTACCCTGGAGTGGGGCATGTTTTAATCACACATAGAGCCTTCTCATCTCATCTATTTTGGTATTCACTTTGACCCTTGTTCTAATCAGCCAATGCAGACAATTTACTCATGCTTTTAACATATAATTAGCTTTGGTTTTTTGTGATGTTCTTTTCTTGCCTTATCCAATGCCTTCTCTCTTCTTAAAGAATATGTTCATGATACAGAGGCCTGAAGCCTACAAGCCTTTGGTTTCTTTCATTTCTTGGTTCTCAACTACATTTTCCAGTTTTTACCATCTTTGTTTGACAATGGGCTTACTTTCACATCAAAGTTGCTATTAAAGTCAATGTCGTTTTACTTTGGAGGACTTTGTCAAGTTCTTCATAAAACTTCTCTATTTTTTCATTCTCTATAATAAATGTTGGTGAATAAGCTCTAATTATCTTCAAATAGTCTTTGTTTATTCCCATCATGAACACTCTATAAAGCACAAAATGACCAAGTGTTCCATGAAATGATAGTTTCCCTTGAGCACATAATAAAATTAATTCCTTTTTTTTTTTTTGCTTTTTAGTGAGGCAATTGGGGTTAAGTGACTTGTCCAGGGTCACACAGCTAATAAGTGTCATGTGTCTGAGGCTGTATTTGAACTCAGGTCCTCCTGACTCCAAGGCCAGAGCTCTATCTACTGCGCCACCTAGCTGCCCCCTTAATAAAATTAATTCTACCAACTCTTTTTTTCCTCCCTTCCTAAGAAGGTGAGCCATATTTCCATCGAGGAATATCGATGTATCAGGAGCTTAAGGCACTGTGGGACTCCAAAGGAAAAAGGAGAAGTAGGCATTCCTCAGAAACTCTAAGGGTATGAAGGTGCCTCTAACTTTACGGGGTTATTTAAAGCATTATGAAGTAATTTCCAGTATGGTTTTGGTCAATTTAAAGGTTGAAGGATTAGCCCTGCAAAAGTGATTAAGTATAGAAGGAAACCTGGCTGCATATTACAATGAGATTGACTAGTGTATGGGAGCGTGAGATGGTGCATACTTGGATAAATGTAGAGCTTGGAAGCCCCACTGTGCATGGGATCAGATAGGAGAAAGACTGTATATGAGGGTAGGGCTTGACTTGTTTGCTAATATCCTTTTGCCAACTATACAGTGATACCAATGGGGCATGACAGAACATAAAATCTCTGAGATCAGATTTTGTTTGGTACAATGTGCACGAAATTGGTTTTTAAGTTTTTCCTATTCTCTGTTTAAGCAGAAATTTCCTTGGGGGTGGAGTATTGGGGGATGGGAGAATACAGAGTGACCTAGAGGATGAAGCATCATGTCATTTTCTCTCTTAACCTCACAGAGCACTTTGCTTTCTAATTCTGCAATGCATGTAGATATTATTATGGATCACAAACATTGTATAAATAACTTATTCCTCTTCCAGGCTGTGGGCTTTGTAAGGGCAGCAATCATGTCCTATCAAAACTTTATATCTTCTCCAGCATCTTGTTTAGTCCATGAAGTAAACACTTAATAAGTGTTTGTTGAACTTATTGTCTTCTGGCTTCACTCATGGCAAGAATGCTGAACTCAGTATGAGACAGTTCCTCCAGGATCATGCCAAGTCTTTAGTCATTGGGCTGAGAATATTGAAAATTAAATGAATGTTAGTTAACCATCTAAACACTATGGTATTGCCCTCTTTTGTTAATCCTAATCTTCCTCAGACATCCTGCTCTAAGAATAGGAACAAGAATGGTACAATTTAGATAAGCACTACCAGACTGCATCTGACCAAAGTTATCATCATTAGCTTCCCTGATTCTGATTCAGGCTAGGGGTGGAAAGGATGTGGGTAAGGAAAGCACATAGGAGCAGCATGAGACATGAACTTGACCAATGCAGCCAGGAATATCCCACACATACAACATTGCCCACACAAGACCTAAGATCAAACACTAAGGGTGCCAACATCTCATGCTTTCCAGCCTCCAGACCAGTCTGTTCTCTGCATACACTCTTCTACTCTCACCAAGCAATCTAAGTTTTATCTATTCTGTTATCACCAGGCAATGATGGGCTTTTTGCACCATCTAATCGCTTGTACACCAGCCACCTTGCAACTATAACAAGGGATTCGCTTGATTCTGATACTCCTTACTACCTAGGGCTCAATTTTGATATTTTGGGCTAATCAAAAGTATGCAAATGTGGTTCAAATATAATGTCTTTTTTAACAAGAGACCAGGCAGAAGCCTTAAATTAAATAACAAGGCATTTACTTAGGATAGAATAGTAAAATGTACAACATAGAAAAATCAAATAGTAAAACCATTCTCCATCTCCTCTCATTCAATGGTGGTAAAATCTCCTCGGACTCCTGAGAGATGCATTCCTTAGGGCAAATACTCCTTAGACAACTCAGATTTATAAAGTTGCACCATAGCTGGAACACTTCTCGCAGCTCAGTCTCCTGGCAATGGTCTGTGCTACTTCCCTTGCTTCTCTGTAACTTCATTCTGCTTTTACAGCCGCTGTTTCTTCTCCGAAGGTGGTATTTGCTACTTCAGCAGTGAGCTGCTGCTGTCATCTGTTGGAGCCCTTTACCAGCTGCTGCTATTGTTTCTTCCTCTAAGGGAATGCTGTCGCTCTTTTGTGTGATTGCCCTGAGCCAACTTGCCTGGGGGCTAATCAGCATATTTTCACATCTTTTATAAGTTAGGTCCACAGCTATTCCTTATTAGCACACAAAAAAGGCGCCTCAGGTACCTGTTAAGACCTATACATATTTGAGTAGCCACCTCTGTCAATTTTGATTAGCTATATCCTTCTGATCCTCCTTCCCATTCCTGCCTAGGTGGGTTAATATGAGTGAATTCCTTTTAACTCCAGACATGCTCCTGGGAGCTGGTTACTTTTGCCCTATATTCCTGATACCAATGTAAAGGACCCTATCACGTTTGTACTACTTACTACTCAGGACTCTTGGAAAGACCCAAAGAGGTGTGAAAGGTGACTAAAATTTGGGGTAGAGAGGTGGTGAAAGTACTTGGGAGAAGCTCAAGAGATTTTGACTCATTCTGTTTGAAGAGAAGGGATGGTAAGGAAGGGAATGGAGTCATGGTGTCATTGGTGGGAGCCTTAAGAGTTGTGGGGTCTGTGGCTGGTAGAAAAGGAAACTAAAAAGTGTTCTATGATATAGAAGAGTGATTGTAATCTAAGAGTAATGAACGGCTGACTTAGAGAAAGAGGTGGGTGTATGTAGGCAAGGTACTAATGGGGCATTGAAATTGATAACAGAGGGATCACAGGAATGGTGAGATAATATAAGAATGGGGAATATATCCTACAGTTCTGAGGATATGCAGGAAAGTACTAAGGCCAGCAGTACACAAAAACTCTCATAGGTCAACGAAAGGGCATAGTACATAGAGGATCAAACCGAATGAACTAAATTCTCTCACCTACAGATCAGATGTTGGGGTTCCAAAAAATCCACAAAGGAAAGCTTTAAAGTTATTTTTTGTTTGTTTGTTTGTTTGTTTTTGGTTAGGCAATCAGCATTAAGTGACTTGCCCAGAGTCACACAGCTAGTAAGTGTGGAGTGTCTGAGGTCAAATTTGAACTCAGGTCCTCCTGACTCCAAGGCTAGAGCTTTTTAAGTTATTTTTAAGTGAGTTTGCTTAGTTTCCCAGATAGTCTCTATAAATAATATTCCCATAAGACCCTCACAGAAGTATCAAAGGTGGCTACTACACACACATCAGCCTACTGATTCAGCATATTCTCTGTTCACAACAAACACAAGCCCACCTGTGATAAAATCAGAAAAGGGAAAAGAGAAAGGTTTTCTTTCTACCCTTATCATTCATTACTCATTCAACAAACATTTATCCCCTTCCATTTCATTCTGTTCTATAAAGATTTATTAAGCTCCTGATACACGCAGAACACTAGGGAGGAAAATATTTTCCTCATAACAGTCCTAGGATAACAGTAGTATAAGCATTATAATTAGTCTCATTTTATTGACATAGAAACAGATTCAGTGAACTTAAGTGACTTTCTCCGGGTCCCATGGCCAGTAACTGTCACAGCCAGATTTTGAGCTGAGATTTGACTCCACTTCCAGCCTTCATACCATTCTACCACTTTGCTCTGTACCTACTAGGTATAAACCACCCAGGGAGACAGGAAGATCAATGAGGTGCGGTGTTTATCCTCAGGACTTTATAGTTCAATAAGGGGAACTTGTGTGTCTCAAAAAGCAGAGAGAAAACAAATAGCTTAAATTTAAAGTTTTGTTCTACATTGGATGGTTAGCCAAAAAATAGCTCAAAACCAAATGAGCTTTCCTAAGCAAAAATAAGACAAAATGAGCCACTGTGTCTCTGACGTCTTCTAATTGAAGGCCCTGTAAAAAGACATAAAAAGTATTGAGTTAGAAATCCAATATAATTATAAATATTAATCTTATGGTTATAGCAAGTTTCTTCAGTTATGATTCATAAATTTCTTCAAAAACCCAAAGGTTTTGTTCTAGTTTCTGTTTAAAAATCACTTGGAAATTTGGAAACTTTAATCTTCCTTTCTTCCTCAAAAAAACTTCCATCTTGACAATGAACATACTGATTTATTACAAGAGAAATGCCAAGTTTCCAAAAATTGGTAAAATAAAATTTTGCATTAAATAATCTCAGCACTGTTGTCTAAACTGACTTCAAGGACATTTGGATTCTATTGAAATCAGTTGAGATTCTATTTATGTTATCAATTTTAAGTAGATAGTAGACTCAATTATGAGAAAAACTACAGGAAAATATTTAATGAAAAATAGTTATAGTAGTGGTGGTGGTATGTCTGTCTATGCCTGAATTGTGTAGACTGCTTCCCCAAGTTAACAAATTATTGCTCAGAATTTCATTCCCTCCTACTTAAAATTAATTTGAGAGGAACCCTTCTCCTGAATACAAAGACAAAATGGGATCCATGCCCTCAGGGAATTTACCACTTAGTTGGGAAGATATATTATATACACTTTGAATGAAAAAGCAGAAATTGTTAAGTGCTAAATGAATATTACAGAACATTTATTCATTAAGCATTTGGAACATAGGCACTAAGGTTACAAATACAGAAGATTAATAATAGTGGTAGTAGTAATAATGGCTAGTGTATAATAATTTAAGGTTACAAGGCCCATTATGTACATTATCTCATGGACTCTGCTTTCAAGGAATTTATAATTTAATGGGAGAGGCAGTTGCAGCATTGGTAACAAATAACTTTGACACAATGGAGAGTGAGATGAGTACAAAGGACAGATGTAGGCAAATGCTATAAGAAATTAGAAGAGGGAGAAATCACTTTTGGGGAAGGCAACATGTTCAATGGACATGGAATCAATAGGACCTGGGTTCAAACACTCCTTCGAACACTTACTAGCTATGTGATCCTGGGCAAGTCATTTAATCTCTCTGTGCCTCAGGTTACTCATCTGTAAAACAGAGGATGGGGAAATGGGAGGAAAGAATGGGGACTTCAAGGCCTTTAACTTCTCTTCCAATTCTAAATCTATGATCCTATGATCCTGACGCTTAATAAAAGGGGCACTTGAGTTGGACCTTAAAGGAAGAGAGGGACTTCAAGCAAGAGGTATAGGAAAGTCATTTCCAGGAATGAGAAATTGTATTACCAAAGGCTTGGTGATCAGAGAGTACAGGATAAGAATACAAGAGAGGGAATTTATTATGTTTGTTTGTTTTGGGGGTGAGCAGAGTTATGAGGGCAGAGAGAAGTAATGGTAATATCAAGAGAGGTAGAGCCCAGATAGGATTAGCAGAAAGTACAGTGACCTGTCCTGCTCCAAAACTTCTCCAAACAGACCTAGAAAATTCACTAGACCAAATTCTGATGAGGAAATCCAAGAAAAAGACACAGTGAGATATTTTCCAGCCTAAGTCAAGCATATGGGGAAAGAGAAGTTTGTGGAAACTGGATATGGGATCTAGCCAAGGGCACAGCCTCACAGAGTACTGTTGCACAGAGAGAGACCATGCATCAGGGCAAGAGAAGGTCCTCGACCCATCCCAGGGCACTGCAATGGGGACAGATGCCAACTGGCAGCTTTGTCGCCACTACTAGGTCCCAGGTCACAAATCCAGGGCTAATAGAGGAAGGTAACTGCTATTGAGGTAGCATTCTGGAGTGAGGAGAGATTATAGGCTCTAGGTGGTATACCTAGAGAGGAGCAAGTTCAGAAGCAATCAGTAATGGAACGGTTCAGATGCCAGGAATAAAGTGGGATATCAGTTCCACCTCCTGACCCAATCTGCAGCCTAAAGAGGAATTAAGCAGAGAAGGAATCCCAGACCAAAGGGAAGCTTACAGTTTTGACACTCTGAAGCAGCAGAGCTTCCTAGCTGACTGATAGTGGTTGAATCCAGCAGCAGTCTAGTGTTGTTCAGAGACAGACCCAGGTCAGGAACTTGTAGAACTAAGATGAGGGCAGGACAGAACACTTTGGGACTACTGAAAGCTTGCAGGTCCTCAGCCTGAACTGTCCTTGTGATCCATAATAATACTCAATACCACAAGAAAGCAGCAACAGGGCTAACCTAGGCCTTTCCTCCAGAACTGAATAGAGCCTGACCCTAATACGAAGTCAGAAAGTAGGCTGGGAAAATGAACAAATAGAAAAAGAATTCCACCATAAAATGTGACAGAGATATTCAAAACATAAAACCCATAAGAAGAAGACTCTAAAACATCTACAAGCAAAGCCTCAAAGAAAAACACAAACTAAACAAATTAAACTAGAACTCCTGGAAGAGATGAAGGAAGAGGTTTGGTTTTTTTTAAGTTTTTATAAATGAAACAAGTACACTAGAAGAAAATTGGAAAAGAAATGAGAACTATGGAAGAAAGAATCAGAAAGTGAATTAACATCTTGGTTCAAGAGGTATACAACCTGAAAATTAGAAATGTGCCAAATAGAGGTCAATGACTCCATATTACAACAAGAAATATAGCATTGAATTATCTGAATGCCATGACCAAAACTAGAGATTACACATGACATTTTAAGAAATCTTAAAAGAAAACTGCCCATATCTTTTAGAACCAGTGGGCAAAGTGGAAACAGAAAGAATACACTGGCCATAACCCTTCCTGAAACCCCAAAATGAAAACTCCAAGGAACATTATAGCTAAAATCCAGAGTTTCTAGTTTGAAGAAAAAAAAATACAGCAAGGAGCAATAACAAAAAAATTCAAGAAATACGGAGCCATAATAAATTTGTAATGGACCAAATCAGTACAGATGCATGACTTCCTTCAGCTCTATTCAGCAGCATGTCAGTAGGTACAGAGAGGACAGTCAGGCAACAAACATTTTTTAAGCACCTATTATGTGCCAGGGATTGTGCTAAATGCCAGGCATACAACAAAAAGCAAAAGACATCTGCCCTCAAAGAGCTAAAAATCTAATGGGGAGACAACATGCACACAACCATATACAAACAATATATAAAGGATAAATGAGAAATAATCAACAGAAGAAAGACATTAGAATCAAGGGGAATTAGGAAAGGTTTCCTGTAGAAGACAGTATTTACTTGGGATTTGAAGGAAGTCATGAAAGCAAAGAGATGAAGAGGGATTTGGGATGGCCAGTGATTAAAGAAGTGAAGTGTTGAGGACAGATTCAAGAATCGAGAATAAACAGGGGCACGAAGTTTTTGGCAAACAATACAAAGAATGTCAGCACCCAGTCTATGTTAGGAAGTATGCTGAGGACATCAAGCCAAGGGAATAAGCAGAATAGGATGTTAAGAACGCCAAAGCCAAGTCAAAAGGTCAAGTGAGACAGTCAGGAATACAAATGGGATGAAAATCAGAGTCAGACAGAAGTCAGAGTCGGAGGTCTGAAGAGCAGGATTAAATTGTAAATTAAATTGGGCTAATTTGTAAATGACAAATCTCTTTGTAGTAATGCTTGTCTCTCTGTAGTTTCCTTCTAACAATGAGTCAGTGTGTGTTCCCTCTTACTTCACCTCCCTCAATCTTCTACCCTCATTGATTTTTTTTTGTTTTTTGGGCAATTGGGGTTAAGAGACTTGCCCAGGGTCACACAGCTAGTGTCAAGTGTTTGGTTTGAGGTCGGATTTGAACTCAGGTCCTTCTGACTTCAGGGCTGGCGCTCTGTCCGTTGTGCCACCTAGCTGCCCCCCTCATTGATTTTTTTAAAGGGACTAACTTGCTGAAAAATTGCATCTGAACTTTACCAGTCCTGAATTTTCATTTTTTCCCTTTGTTCAGCAGGGACAAAATTGTTCTTGTTTTTCAAAATAACTTTACTAGGCAACTAAGAAAACAGTGAAACAAAACAAAAGAATAGAAAGGCTGAATATATGGAGTACCGAATCTCTTATCCTAAAGTAACTATGATCCAGTGACAGGTTGGCTTGACTGTCCCAGATCAAGGAAGAGTTGCCTCATTCCCATTCCTTGTCACAACACTGCCTCAAAGCCAAGATCTTTCACTTCTTAATCTGGATTAGTTTCTAAGCTTAGTTTCATTCTAAATCATGAAGCTTCTAAACCTGAAACATCACAGTGGTTTTCTTCTCATAGGCTTCTTTTCTTGTTCCAAATCCCATGTCATCAGAACTCTACTAAGTTTCTGTTTCAGATCTGAGCAACACCTCTCATTCTTAGCTCATTTGTATAGAAATGATAAAGAGGCCCTAAACTCAATAAAAGATTAGGGATTAGGTAACCAGCTCCACTCACTTTTCCCAGATTATTTTTGATGATTAATCATTCAGATGAATAAGCCTCTTGAAGCCTGACCGATATTAACATGGTAAAAGGAAAGAACCTTGATTCTGACTTTGAAGATATAAGCATCCTCACTGACATCACATATGTGATTTGACACATCACATTTGGTGATGTCCTCTTCTGGATATATCCACGAAGACTCACTCTTGTCCTAAATATCTCTTTGCCTATTGATATGACATTAAGTAGAATAATAGTTAACATTTGTTTAGTGCTTTAAAGGTTTGTTAAGTGTCTTCATTTATTATCTCATTTGATCTTCACAATAATCCTGTTTGGTAGGTGCTATTATTGTCTGTGTTTTACAGATTATACCCTTCATTAGTACTGTGGTGAGCTATATGGACTCTTTAGTGACGCCCTGGTACCTTCCACTTTCAAGGGAGCCTCAACTTCAGGATAGAATTGTAAGTCTGGAAGACTGTAAGAGCCATGGGGTGGAGGGACTCACTAGAGAATAAAGAGTTGTCTTCACTGTTTATGGACTCTAGTATGATACTTCTGTGTCTTGTATTTTCTTTCAAGTAAAATAGAGACTATCCTATATTTGATGAAGCTCGAGTGCTTCAT